CTAAAAGAGAAACGAAACAAAGCAAAACCCCCAGGCAAAAAAAAAAAAAAAAAAAAAAGACGCTCTAGCCAACCTTTCGTAATGCCTTCTCAAAGGCTTTTTCTGAGTTTACTATTTCTTGGCTGTTTGACTCTTTGGTTGAAATCTTAAAGCTGGGGGAGGGGAATTGGACGGGGGTGGGGTAGAAGGAAGAGGGCTGGCAGTATATAAGTGCATCAGGAGGAATTTTAAAACGACATTACTGTCGCTGGCAATAGACTGACTCTGGTCATTCTACTTTAAAAAACAAACACCAGCATCTGCTTTTCCTGGAAACTTTGCTTTCTGCTTAAACCTTTTGCATTTTGCCTCCTGTGAAAGTGAAAGAGAAAAACGCGGTGTGATGGATCCAGATGCAAAAGAAAGCCAACTCGGTGGATGGTATTAGCTGTGACGAGGCATTGTTCATTGCTGCCTCTCCGTTACGTTTAAAGCCTGAAATATCACGAGATCCATTCAATGATCCTTCTTTCATTCAAGGGACAAAAATGTAATTTGCTGTAGCTCTGATTTCTTGGATGGAAATGCTAGCCTTAGATTTCAAAGGCAAGAACTAGACATCGCGGTTTGTACACACATTGATTAAGTTGAAGAGCGGCGATTACATCTGTGCTGAGTGCAACAGTAGTCCAGGGCTGACTTTTCAAATCCCAACCTCTGAGTTACAGACTCTCTTAAATAGACTTCTTTCATTTCCGGATGCACGTCTTGAAATTCCCAATTCTCTTCAAAATTCCTGGGAAATTACAAGGGAGTTAAGGGTGGGGGTGGGGAACTATGGCAGAGATTTCATGTAAACTACCTTTTTGTATGTGATTCCTGTTTTAACCTTTTTTTTTTTTTTTCTGGAGCCAAACCTGCTTGTGCTTAGCCAGACCAGAGAAGGGGAAGCTGGAACTTTTGGATGCGAAGGAAGAAATCATTGTACAAATTTTTTTTTGCAGGCTCATAAATATCTGTTTATTCTTTTAACCTCACGGATGTGTCTATTTTGGGAGAAACAAGGAAACATAAATGCCTGGGTTGCATTTATGCTGTAGTTGCAAACACCAAACAGTTAAGAAGATTTTGCCGAATTGTGCAAAGCAGCCAACCGCCTTGGGATCGTGGTAATGCAACTGGGAAGACCCTTGCTCTCATTTGGCAATATTTTGGATATCCTTGTAATGACACCAAAATATGCCTTAATTTGACTAAGAAGAGGTTAAACAATATTGATAGTCATCCAAAGTGATTTTTTTTTTAAAGCAGATGCTTGGCTTTCATGGAAATATATGGGAGTTGTGGAAGATTCATTTAAACTACCAGCCAAAAGCATCATAGCCCACTGAATTGGTCTGCATCGTACATCACACTTTCTTTTCATCGTTATTACGTAAAACCTCTGGTAGCACCTTGGGCGATTTACGTTTTCTTTTCTTTGCTGCAGAAGCAAGCTGCTCCCTGGAATTCTGACCTGCGGTGAACAGGACCCAGGCAAAGGCTATGCTGGGCACTCTAGGACGATCCCGCCTCCAATCCAGTCTGGTTAATTGTGAAAAGTATACACATTTCTAGCTTATCTATGCTTTGTTATGGGTCTGACGTGCAACTACCTCCTCCCCACCCCACCCCTCAGCAGAGAATCCAAATCCAGTTGAATTGTTACAGTGTTTCGGACCTGGAGACTTGAACTGCTTCCTTGGTCAAATAACTTTGTTTCTGGTTATAAAAACGCATTACAGGAAAAAAAAAAAAGAAAGAAAGAAAGAAAGAAAGGAAAGAAAGAAAGAAAGAATAATCGAGAAATTCAAAACGTAAGTCCGTACTGGGGCGGTTCACCGCGAGGGTTTAACTTTGGAGCTCACAGTCGGTCGGTCTCCTTTCCCATTCCCATAAGGGAAATACCAGGCTATTCTGCACATTTTCACTTAAGCTCCATTTTCCAAAGGAAAAGGGGGTGGGGGTGTGTCTATTTAGGCTTGATAATGTTTTTAAAATGCTTTTCTTTGAAATGATAATAGCCGTAGCGGTAAAATGCAAATAAAGCAAAAATAGGCAATATTCCTTTAAAGGCGAATATACAGTTTTTTTTTTTTTTTTTAAGCGTACACACACTGGTTCAGATGAAGTCTGTGAGTCAGGCTGTTTCTGAGCTCCGATAGTTTAATGGAAAGATTTATATACCGACTGTATTATTTACTTTGGGAGGGGAGGTGGCAGTATAAGGGTATGCTAATTAGTGGGAGATTTTGGGGGGAAGGGGTGGAATATCAATTTTTATTGCATCACCTGTCAGGAGTGTCCAATCAGCGCTGGCTTTAGGGGAATTAATTGATGAAGGTGTCTCCGGACGAGCTCACTTCACTCTGTCATTTTATTTGTAGCTAAAGCAGCGGCGGGAATAGCAGCTGCATTTCTTTTCTCTTTCTCCCTTCACATTCCATTATCATAGTGCTCCAATGGAGAAGGAAGGAATAGAGGGGCCCAGGTACTGATCTGCATCGGGGACTTACACCAACACACTGGCAGATCAGAAGCCGGATGGTTTTTTCCCTCTTTTTCAAAAAAACGAAAACCAAAAAAAAAGCAAGAATCAAGTCAGTGTAATTTCATGGTTTTTTCTTTTTTTTCTTCCCAATAATTTTGCCTAGAGTTTGGCACTCCCTTCGCCGGGAATAACAGTCTTTGTTATTTTATTAGCAGGATGCCTTGAGACACACGCAGCATCTGGTGGAGGATTAACATACATACATGTGTATGTATGCGTCACGTATATATTTGCTGCAAATGGTGGGGATCATTTAGTGCCCGAGATGGGAGACCTGAAGTCAGGTTTTGAAGAGGTGGATGGCGTGAGGCTCGGCTACCTCATCATTAAAGGAAAGCAAATGTTTGCCCTCTCCCAAGTCTTCACGGACCTGCTGAAAAACATCCCGAGGACGACCGTGCACAAGCGCATGGATCATCTGAAAGTGAAGAAGCACCACTGCGACCTGGAGGAGTTGAGGAAACTCAAGGCCATCAACAGCATCGCCTTCCACGCCGCCAAATGCACGCTCATCTCCCGGGAAGACGTGGAAGCGCTCTACACCTCCTGCAAAACCGAGCGGGTCCTCAGGACCAAGCGCAGGAGGGTCGGCCGGGCCCTGGCCACAAAGGCGCCGCCGCCAGAGCGCGCCGCC